TTTAATGTTTCCAAGACTGTTAGCTTATGCTCACTGGACAAAGGTTTTCAAAATTCAGGCTGATTCACTAAAGATTAATTTAGACTGATTTGTGAACCAGTTTAGCCAACAATTTTTTATATCATAACTAAATTGACACTATTCAATTACATTTTTTAGGTTTTCCATGACTGAAAACACTCAAACCTATGTGAAGTTTTTTTTTTTTTTGGAAACTCATTTGGTGCTGCTGCTGGCACAGAAATTATACTGGGGCTTTGAAGGTGTATTAGGTCACTTAATATTTTACTGGTCTTAAATTATATAATGTCATCAGCATGTAGCATCTCACAAAAGTTTGTTTACAATAACAAAAATACCACATTTGAAAGTATGTCACCCATGATTTATTCTGCAATGACCAATAATGGCAGGATTACTGAACTAAGCCATTTTAATGATCCCACAGTCATGTAGAATAAAACTTTTTATAGCCACTGTATGAGTCTTTGTCATGTAAACAAACATTTTAAACCTCTTTTAAAAGCACTGTTTATGTTTTTGTATGTAGAAGTACTCAACATACCAACAGGTAAAACATTTATGGTAATCAAAATGAGATTCTTAAACATTTCCATATACTAAGCAAATTAGTTGGGTGTACTCAATGTAACATTTTTGTGATGAGATTCTTGGTAATTTAACAACTACATTTCCAATTACACTTGCAGTAAAATATTTTAAAGAAAAACAAAATCACCATTGCACACCATATCACTGTTAGGCTTTATTGCGGGTTGTACCCAAGTTATACAGCTTTGTATTCCGATATCAAGATCAGGACTTTACGAACAGTTATTATCAGTCTACAAGTACAGCCAACAAAAGACCTAAATACTACTCTATTACCTCAACTACCTCGTTACATATGCACTTAAGGGTACTAAAATTGAAAACCAAGCAACAAAGAGAAGAAAAAAGAAAAACAGCATTACAGGAAACATTCATCACTACACATTTGAGTATCTACCATGTATTACTAGACTAAACCTTGTCAACGGTTACCAATACAAATAAGGATTGTCCTTCAAAAAGTGCAGTTCCCCAAGTTAAAATTCTAAGATGACCCCAGGAAGACGCTGAAAAGAACTTCCTGCTCATTTAAGTTATCTTATTGATGTTTATTTCAATTAATTTTCAAACAGTCTACCAAAGCAGTGTGCATATAGGTTACATGTGAGCAAAGACCACTAGAAGAAATGTGTGAGTTGAGAATTTGCTATTCCACAGCCCGTTCTGTGAGGAGCGCTGTGAAAAAGGAAATGTTAAAGCAACCCCTCATTTGCTACAACTGGCCAATTATTCGTGACAAAAAGTTAAAGAAAATTTCAATCATGGCACATTACAGGAATCGTATTTTTAAATCCCGCCACTACCGCGGCCAGGATTTTTAGTAAGCGAAGACACAGACATGGAAGCCTCACCCTACACTGCATAGACTCTCTTAGAATTTCCCCATGGTGGAAGTTTCGATTTAAACTCTCGTTCATCCATTTCTTGTGCTGGTTTTACTAAAGCTTTTCGGGTTTATAATGACACGACAGCAATACTCACAGTTTAAGTCAATTGCCTTAGCACATTGTTCAACAGTAGGAACCATTTAAAAGACGAGGGTATATTTGCTCACAGGATAAATCAAAAAAGAATGACATTTTCAGTACAAAAGTAGAATGTCAGGCCAAGTCACTTATTCGTTTCCTCTATGTTCAACCTGGCTATAAAAATGGGGATTGTACATTGCTCATGAATATCCTCAAAACATCCATTTTGCAAGTGACATTTCAAGCATATACATTGTCCAGCTTTTACAAAAGAACAAATCCCTTTCCTCCCCCTGCTTGATAATTTGGCATGACAGTGAATTATCAAAATGTCTCAGCATGACAGTTCTGTCTAACACCAAAAAGCAGCACATACATAAAACAAAATTAAGAGAAAAAGAGGGGAGGGGGACAAAAAAAAAAAGGCGAAAAAAATACAAATAAACTGGGTGCCAATGGCTTTTCCCTACGCTTCCGAAAGTAAAAAGCCACGAAGAACGGGGAAACTAGCACGTTTGCCAAGACGGCAGGGAAGAACCCATTCAGAACCATTGGTAAAGCTCAGCGTAGCACTTCCAGAAAGGACTAACGCTACCCCGGACGCATACGAACATGTAACTAAAGCACAAAAGATTGAGCGATCCACATAGAGGGAGTAAACAAAGTCACGGCAAAACCTTCTGCGATACCTGCATTTATACTCCCCCTAAACAAGAGGAGAATACTTGGGCTCCTGATGCGCAGGAATGGAGCAGACCACTCAAGCACACAGGCACAAACACACGCTTTAAGGGTCTAGTCAATGTACACAAAGAACAAAAAGACAAATAAAAGGCGAAGTCCTCCATCCATGCCGTCCAGTCTCCAAAAGCTACACTCTGCCTCCAGAACACAAATACAGTACAAGCTTTTCTAGTTCATTATGTACACCAAGTGCAATTCCAAAAACTAATTTTCGGCTTTCGTTGTGTAGTTCTCTACAATGTTCCACTTAAAATTTGTCCAACAAACAAAGATAAGCCAGGTCTGGAATTAAGTAAACAAATCCTTTGATTGAAGTATATTTGGTGAAGCAGTTACTTAAAATGGTTCAATACGGGCACGCAACCATAAAGTGAGGGTAATACTCAGGGTTTTGTACGACGAGTCATTAAATATGGATAAGTTAACACACCACGCACGCAAGTTCTACTTCTCAAATAAAACAATGGAGAAAAAACTTAAACAGCTTAAACACATATTAAGGTCCATGGCTTAGCCTAATGCTGACATCTTTCTCTCCCTCTCGCTCTTGAAGCGTCTCATAAATTGTGCACCTAAAATATAGTACGATAAAAGGTAAATAAGTCTGTAAATCTACGCACATTATTTAAACTACCAGCAATAGATTACATTCACCTCTAATCCAGCCTTCCTTGGCCACAAGTACAGAGGCAAGCCATTTTCAATGACAAACCAGCTTTGAGGAAGGGGGAAAAAAGGGGAGAGGAAGGGGGAGAAAAAAAAAAAGAACTGAAAATAAAATGGTAATGAGCAGCCAAAACATTGATTTATTAATATTGTAAGGAACTTCAGATTAACACAACCAAACTGTACACATTACAATCATTTTCTATTTGTAAACAGTTAAAAGCCACTTGACTTGTTGCATCTTCGGACACAATTTGAATCAAGGCAATGAAATGTGGACGACTTTTGCACTGTTAAAATAACCAAACAAGATTTTCTTTAACACCAGCTCTGGCGATGAGGGGGAAAAAAAAAGTGATAAAATAATGATGATGATGATATATATATATATATACTACTCAAATAAAACAAAAGGGAGAAAAAACAACAGCTTAAACAAATATTAAGGTCCATGGCTTAGCCTAATGCTGACATCTTTCTCTCCCTCCCGCTCTTGAAGCGTCTCATAAATTGTGCACCTAAAATATAGTACGATAAAAGGTAAATAAGTCTGTAAATCTACGCACATTATTTAAACTACCAGCAATAGATTACATTCACCTCTAATCCAGCCTTCCTTGGCCACAAGTACAGAGGCAAGCCATTTTCAATGACAAACCAGCTTTGAGGAAGGGGGAAAAAAGGGGAGAGGAAGGGGGAGAAAAAAAAAAGAACTGAAAATAAAATGGTAATGAGCAGCCAAAACATTGATTTATTAATATTGTAAGGAACTTCAGATTAACACAACCAAACTGTACACATTACAATCATTTTCTATTTGTAAACAGTTAAAAGCCACTTGACTTGTTGCATCTTCGGACACAATTTGAATCAAGGCAATGAAATGTGGACGACTTTTGCACTGTTAAAATAACCAAACAAGATTTTCTTTAACACCAGCTCTGGCGATGAAAAAAAGAAAAAAAGTGATAAAATAATGATGATGATGATATATATATATATATATATATATATATATATATATATATATATATATATCTCAAACAATGTATATGCAAATTACTGAAACATAAAACATTACTTCAGACAAAGAAAAAGCAATTCTGTAGGCCGAGTCATTGGCTACAGTATGCATAGTTACAGATTTCTGCTTTTTCTTATGACATTTGACAGTTACTTCGACAGTCATAAAGCGAAAAACATTTGAGCCACTCAGTGGGAAAAAGGACTAGATAGTGATTCAGCAAACCATATCCACTCATTAATAAAAAGACAGCATATTCGAAAAGCAGTATGTAGAATGTCTCCAGCTTAAAGCAGTTATTTGGCAGAGAAAAACTTACAGAGCTATAAGTAGTTTCAGTGCTAAAAGTTGGATTTTCCTACAAGGAGTTTCTATGGGGGGAAAACTGGCTATATTTCCTGAGAACCATGCTGGTTATTTAGCAGACAAGAGGAATAGATAAAATAACCAATGACATGGCCAAACACTGATCAGTATTCCCAGAGATAAAAAGCTTCGTCTTCATCCTCAAGATTTTTTTTTTTTGTGTGTTTTGAATTTTTTTGGTATTTTTTTGTTTATTTTATAATTTTTTTAAGATTTATTTTTTTAATTCTTTATGCACAGCAAACCATATCCACTCATTAATAAAAAGACAGCATATTCGAAAAGCAGTATGTAGAATGTCTCCAGCTTAAAGCAGTTATTTGGCAGAGAAAAACTTACAGAGCTATAAGTAGTTTCAGTGCTAAAAGTTGGATTTTCCTACAAGGAGTTTCTATGGGGGAAAACTGGCTATATTTCCTGAGAACCATGCTGGTTATTTAGCAGACAAGAGGAATAGATAAAATAACCAATGACATGGCCAAACACTGATCAGTATTCCCAGAGATAAAAAGCTTCGTCTTCATCCTCAAGATTTTTTTTTTTGTGTGTTTTGAATTTTTTTGGTATTTTTTTGTTTATTTTATAATTTTTTTAAGATTTATTTTTTTAATTCTTTATGCATTTTTTTTTTCGCCATTTAAAATAAAAGGAAGAATGACCATACTTTCCCCCTCAAAACGTTTTGTAAACAAGAGGGCACAATGTGATGCCTCCAAAACAAAATTGAAAGCCTATTTTGAAAGTGCTGTTCCCCCTGGCTTGCAGGTCGGGTTTGCAAGTCACAGCTGTGGCTACAGTTTTTTAGACTGCAGAGCTAAATTCTTTAGTTTTAAAACAAAATTGGTGCAATACTTATTTCTGTAATATCAAATAATCCTAAGTCAGCATCTATATCTTGATCTCGAACTCCACAATACTACAATAAGGTAGGCGTACATCAAGGCATAGTAGAGCGCACACTTTAAGAACATCCTTGAGTAAACAACTACACTGGAACTGTCGGCTCCCTCCATATTGCAGATTATACTGAGAGAAACCACATTCAGTGCAAAGTTTAAAAAGCTCAAACTCCATTGTCAGCAAACGAAATGCAAATAATAAAAACAAAACAAAAAGAATTGGAATTCAAATAAACATGATGAATAAACAGATGAGCTCAACTGAAGCTTTTTTCTGTATGAAGAGCACTACCTGGAAGTGTAAATACATCCTTTCACATTATAGAATTGGCCTGCATAATTCAAGTATTCAAAATGATATGTTTTGGGCTAAAACAAAGTGGACATATGTGCAGAAAAAAACGTAACTTGTTTCCACAGGGTGACCCCGCATTGGTTTTTTTCTTTTCTTTTTGTAAGTGAAGAAAGTCTAACTAGTGCCATTTGATTTTTTTTCATATAATATATATATATATGGTCATATGATTATGATTAACTATTTCCACATTGAGGTCACGGGTTTGTATGTTTTTTTTTGTCATTTTTTTTCTTTTTAAGTCAGAAGGTGAAAGATGCACTACATGGACTCCGGAAGGAAGGAGCTGATGGGGGAGGGACTGTTGATTCTCCCCCCTTCACCACCACTGGGGCTGCCCCACAGGCTCGTGGAGTAATTGGGAACGCCCCAGAGAGACGAGCCGTGCAGGTCTCCGCTGCCGTTCCAGTGATTTGGATCAGTGCGGTTTGGGAAGGGGTGGGAACCCTCGATGGATCCGATCCGGTTCTGAGAAGAGCCCAATGTCTGCCAGCTGGGAGAGGCAGTCATTGACTGACCTTGTGCAAAGAAACGATTAATTTCCTCTTCACTAGCAAACTCTGCAAGAATAGTAGTGTTCCCTAAAACACACCTGAGGAGGAAGAGCAGAATCTTTATCAGTATGGTGCCTCACTCACATACAAGTTTTTGTGAACTTCAGAATGGGGTTCCGGAAATCTGGAAATGGCTTTGCACATTATTTCAGGGTTTCGATTGAAAGAGAAAGCAGGCTGAAAAACCATTCACTTAACACAGGGGTATTCAAATTGGGGTCCGTGACGCAAAGCCGGGGGGGTCCGCAAAATAATTTGCTACACCGTTTTTTCCGGACTGCAATTTGCATTTTTTTAATCATCTGAAACGTGCTATGATTTATATTCCAACGTGACTTATTTAATGCATTAACGTCAAATAAGCAAAGCGTAAACACTTAAAAGCGGGCACTTCAAGGTTTATATAGCTAAATATATTTCTCATGTCTGTTTGACAAGTAGAAAGTATCGCTGAGTTTTTCTTCATTTTAGTAAGAAGTTCACAGATACTAAGACGGCAAGCGCATTTTGTTTGTTTTCTTTATTTTACAAAACCACAATGTTTCACTGTCATTTTGAAGGTAGACAAATAAAAATAAGACTGTTCTGAATGATGTCTTGCTCTTATCTGACGGATATCAGATTTTCCCCCTGATATAAGGAATCCAAAGTGTTCACGCTGGCGCCTCCTGCGCGCTCACAACAAATCAGTTCTAGCACTGCAACTTGACATCGCAGCCTCACCATCAGCAAAATAAATGAGACAACTAAACATACAAAAGGTATTTGGTGGCTCAATTTAACTTGTCTGTTGTACAATATGTAGGTTTTGCCAGACAGCGTGAGCATCGCCATTCCGTGGTTTTTCCAAAGACTTATTATTTTTATTTATTTTTTTTTGCATATGTGAAGGATGCTGTTAGTAGATATTCGGACATGAGAGAAGTACAAAGCCTTCTTTACACAATAAGTAGCCTAATAGAGCCAACTACGTGATTATGTTTCAGTTTTAGTAAGTAAGTAGGTTAGGTTAGGTTAGGTTACTTTATTCATACCCGCAGGTAAATTTGTCTTGCAGTAAAATGACAGTGACATCCATCCATAACACAAATTCAAAAAACACATTTAAAAATATAACATAGTATGGATATAGCATTTAAAATAAATGTTGTTTGTAATGAACGGCACTATAACTATTTTATATATATATATATATGCATTTATTTTTGTTCTGTTATGAACGCCACAAAATTTAAACGATTTGGAGTAACGATTTGAAGTAAAATTCATGTTAGTGTTTATAAATGTTTTTTTCCCCTAACATTCGTTTTACTTAGACCTATTCAGTATTTAAATTAATAATTATTTTTTATATATATATATATATATATATATATATATATGCATTTATTTTTGTTCTGTTATGAACGCCACAAAATTTAAACGATTTGGAGTAACGATTTGAAGTAAAATTCATGTTAGTGTTTATAAATGTTTTTTTCCCCTAACATTCGTTTTACTTAGACCTATTCAGTATTTAAATTATTTTTAATATTTAATAGTAAAATGCGACTTACTCACTGATGCAACTTATGTTTCGTTTTTTCATTTAAACGATTTGGAGTAACGATTTGAAGTAAAATTCATGTTAGTGTTTATAAATGTTTTTTTCCCCTAACATTCGTTTTACTTAGACCTATTCAGTATTTAAATTATTTCTGAAAGTAATAGTAAAATGCGACTTACTCACCGATGCAACTTATGTTTCGTTTTTTTCCCCCTTGACCTGGTGCAACTTTCCGGAAAATTTAATTATATTATGCTATAGTATTAAAAAGTACATATACAATGGAGACCATTTGCACCAATAAAACAATCATATTATGTTCATTCTTCCTACCCACATTAAACTTTAGCCTTAAACACTGTTATAATTATGAGGGGGTCCTTGGAAAATCCTCTCTGTAAGGGGTCCCTGGCTCCAAAAAGTTTGAAAACCCCTGACATAAGCATTAACAGATTTTTGTAATGGGGAAAAAAAAGTGTTGTGTTTGTGAAATGATCTTGTCAAGACCCTTAACGTAATCACTAAGGATACTATTATATTAATAGAACGTTGAGTTATTCCAAACAAAACTCCTGATCTAAACATTTGATCAGTGCATCCAGAATATTTGATTTCTAAGAATCGGAGTACATGATTAAACTGTATTATGCATGTCACCCTAATGCACTGGTTCTCAAACAGGGGGCTTGGGCCCACTAGGGGACTTTTTTTAGACCTTAAAATGAACTTGCAGTCTAAGGGGCCGTTATTTCAAATGTAGACGCACAGCAGGCGCGCTCATAATGGTAATTTTTTCCAGGCGCTAAAAACATTTCAACTTTTCAGAATGCCGCAAGCGCACCGCGTTGGTCCAACCAATCAGCTTCATCCTTTCTCGTAACATTGAAAGCTCAGCCAAGATGAAGGAACAGCTGATCATAGCTGTAAAGGGATAGCCATTTTTAAATAAATTTAGTAGCAGAGCTACTGCAAGCAATTTTTAGTGCTGCAAATCCATTTATCCTTTGCTGAAACATCCGCGTCTTCATGGAGAGCGCAGGTCATGGTTGCTTAGCAACGGCAGGTGGCTCCGGAACGCAAGCGCCCGAACGCTTTGGAAAAAAGCAGAAAGCGGCGCGCCTAGCGTTTTCCACACTTTTTAGGCGCGACATGTGAACACCCCCTAAAACTGTACATTTACCGAAAATTCTATTTACTGTAATTAAAATCAATCTAGTTATTCCAGAAGTGATCCAAGTTATTTATAGCTGATTTACAAACACTAATTTCCTCTTAAATGGCTTAGTAATTATTAGCTTTGGAAATAACATTTCTGTTCTTTACCCACATTGGGGGGGGGACAAAGGATAACAAAAAAGGTGGACTTACATGTGCAGTGACTTCTGGGCTTTTGCCGCCTCCTCCTTAGAGCTGTAGCAGACGACAGCGTTGCCATGGGGAAGGTTCAGATGGAATGTGATCAGTGGACCGTGCTGCATGCACAGAGTTCGCAAGGTGGAGCCATCAATCTGTAAAGCACAGGCATGACTTGTTACCCAATAAATTATTCTGCTGTAGCTTTATATATAAAACAATGTAGGTTTCTAAATGGAGCCTTTCCTTTAAATAACACCCATAACACCCACTAATTACAAAATAGTTATTGTGAGTTGGCCACTGAGAATTACAAACTCTCACAGCTTCATAAAATTAGGGTTAAACCTCTGATGTTACATGGGCTATTTTAACGATTGTCCTTACTTTTCTGGACCATTACCTTTCTGGACCTTGGATGTTTCAGTTGTGCTGCTGTCTATGGAGGGTCAAAGAGCTCTCGGCTTTCATCAAAAATATCTTAATTTGTGTTCTGAAGATGAACGAAGACCTTACAGGTTTGGAACGACATGAGGGCGAGTAATTAATGACAGAATTTTCATTTTTGGGGTGAACTATCCCTTTAAAACAAGTTTTGTTTTCCATTCAAACTTATATTGAAAAAAAAAAGTAAAAATTATCTATAAATTAGTAGGGTTGGGTACCGAAACCTGGTACCAATATGGCACCGGTACCATTAGGCCCTTTCGCACTGCTTTAGTTCCAGAACTAAATGTACGGTACTAAAGTACTGGGACGATTTTGCGCGAACTATTTCCCAGTACCATTTACAGGGTTGCAGTCGCACTGACAGTGTGTACTAAGAAGTGACGTAAGCCGGTCAACAGCGTCGTCATTTGTGCGGTTCCATGCCTGAGCGATCGATTGAAATATTTGTCTGGTTCTCCGAAACGGACGTAAGAAGCATCATCACTGCCACCGCACGTGAAAAACAATTTCCCGACTGAGAAAATGCACATGAACTCAAGTCAGAAAGCTCTAATAATACAAATCCAACACATTAACGAAATAACGAGAGTGCCCATGTTGTTTTCACATTCCGATTTAAAAGCACAACTCGGGAAATGAGAGCATCCGAGGAATGCAGTAATTACACTTGCTCTGATGGCAGTAGGTAGCCTTCCATTAACTAAGCTAAACATGCTTAAATTAAAATGCCTAAAGCTAAACCCTCCCTTGTATTCACATTTCTAAACCTGTTGTCCAACAAAAGAGAACATTATAACCTTTTTACTCAACAACACCAGTCAAATGCTTCCTTTTGTGATCTGATGAGGCTTTCTTGTCACAGAATGAGGCAGAAAATATGTTCCATATGCTACTTTAAAAAGAATACATTGATTATCAATAGATTATAAATTAGGTGTCCTCTTTTCCCCGGACATGTCCTCGTTTTGGACCTACAAAAATGCGTCCGGCCGGGATTTCTTAATTGCCCAAAATGTCCGGGATTTGGCTGTTTTCTTAATCCCAGTCCCGCTGAATCTCTGACCATTGACGCCTGCTCCCGCAACATGTTTCGCTCATGATTTTCGTGTCCACTCCTTTAAACATTCTAATATTGTATATAATTTTGGCGCATCAGGGAGCCGCTCTCAGGATGCGGTGTATTTACATATTTTTGAATGAGCGTTTTGCGCTGTTTATTTTTACTTTCGATTTCACGATCACACGCACTCTGTGTAAAGGGAGCACATCTTACAAAATCAGATATTTGTCAATGAGCTCAGGATCTGTTGAGCAGCAAATACTCAAGCATGGTCTTGTCAGTCATCTCTCTTTATTCTCGACCTGTGATCAGTCAAAGCTGACTCCGGTAGCTCTTGTTGGATGCAGGGTTGCCAAGTCCGCGTTTTTTCCACAGAATGGGGCTACTTTTAAGCTGTTGCCATGGGTTGATATTCCCAAGTGGGTTAAAGGTTTGAAATATTGCATAAATTACATTTGACTGAAATGCTTGTATTGAAACATTTTGCATTCTACCAATTATAAAACTTTCATGGACTTCTACATTAACCGTTCCCTCCTGGTGGAATGACCTACCCAGCTCAATCCAAGCAGCAGTCCTTAATATTTTCAAGAAACGCTGAAAGCTGAAAACACATCTCTTTCATCTTCATTTGACCCTCTAACTCTAGCACTCTCTATTCTAATGCTACTTCTAATTTTATCGGCTTGTTTTTTTTTATTAAAAAACTTGATCCGGTAACATTTCCACTCTCTATTCTATTTCTATTCTAACTACATGTTTTATTTATGAAGAAAAAAAGAGCCTCTAACACTAGCATTCTCTATTCTTTCTCTGTTCTTTAACTATCGGTTCAGGCACCGGAACCGTTTTAAAAGTATCGATTTGGCACCGGTATCGGCAAAAACCCAAACAATACCCAACCCTATCTATTAGTAATTAAGGGTAATTCATAAAACCCTAAATTGCAAAACAGTGTACCGATAAATAGTTTTACAGTGCATTTTCAATGTGTTTTCTGCTAAAAATGCTCAACCTGCTAAAACGAGTCCGTACATTCCAAATCATTAAGCATCTTACCTGAGGTGTGAGGTTTTTGAGAACAAGCCAATTAGTTCTCCCTGAGCTGCTGTCACCCCAGCTGGAACCTGCGGACAATGATCATTTCAAGTCTCTCTCGTTTCTTTAAACGCAACATTATTTACACTATTAATAGAGTTTATGTAGGTGAAAGGGAATATAACTGACTAACCAGAGTTGAATCTGGATTCAGAGCTACCCCAGCCTGCCAGTCTCAGAGAGCTGTTGTCCCAAGATGAGGGCTGTTTCTGGCCAGTCAGGCCAGGCGGGGGTCGGGACGGAGCAGAGATACCTTTTGAGGGGAGAGGAACCTTCCACAACTCATGAGCCAAAGAGGTGTTGGTGACTGTACCAGGAGACCATTTGGAGTCACTGTTTCTGGCTGCAGGGAAGAAAAAAGATCAAGTTAAAGGTGTATGAGGGTCACAAGCCTGCGTGGCTATAACGAAATAACTGCCCACCAACCTGAAGTGCTTTGTGCTGTACTGCTGAGGGAACTATTGTGGTTGGAGGCACGAATGGATGTCCAGGCACTATTTGAAGGCAGCGTGGTGGTAAGTGATGAGGATGGCCCTGGAAGAACAGAAATTTTTTATTGACAAACACTAATACATACAAATCTGCAAATTACACTACAATTTTAACATCTGGGGTCAGAAGATTTTTATTGTAATAATAGAAATATTGTGAAAATGTATTAATGTAATGTAACTTGTCTATATTAATATTTTAAAATGTAATTTAATCCTGTGATAGCAAAGCTGAATGTCACCCAATCCTTCATAAATCATTCTAATATGCTGATTTTGTCCACAACAATAATAATAAAAAAATCTTATCAATATTGAAAACAGTTGCTTTTTTGTTTTGTGGACACAGCAATAATTTTTTACAAGACTCTTTGATGAATACAAAGTTCAAAAGAACAGAATTTATTTATTTTTTTAATTTAAAAGCCTTTTCATTTTGTCAATTTGATGCATCTTTGCTGAAGAAAAAAAAACACTTTTGAACAGCAGCGTATACGGATATAGCTGGTTTAACAGATTGCTTACCATTGTTCCTGTCCCTGAGGTGATCAACATCCCGGACTGTATTAATGGAGAGATTATTAATCACACTGCCAGGAGTGACAAATGGGTCAGTTTCAGGATCAATGTTTGGATATCCTTTCCAAGGCTCACCAGGACGGAACTCTGCCAAACAAACAAGACACAGTGTCATTTATGCTACAATGGCGCAGCGACAAGCTCGACCATCTGAGCTACTTTGTAATATTTTGTATCAATGCAAGATTTGATAGGAACAAGTAAAGCATTTATGAAGCGAATGGGACCGAACCTGGTGGCCAGTTGACATTGGTGGAACCATGAGGTGATTTGGCACGGCTGGGCCAGCCATCTCCCACAGAGCCAGGAGGACTGATGGGAGCGTTACTGGCATTGATGAAGTCATATGGACCAAAGGGTGAGTCTTCAAGCCTCAGGCCAGATGTTATAGCACCTATAGTAAAAATCATATCCATCAGACTTTTTTTGCACACTTTCAAAACTGCATATGAAAAACATTTTTTTGTTGCGACGACACAATTATGACAAAAATATTGGTGATTATTTCCTGTGATATTGTATTCATTATTAAATAGAATTAAACATTGATGAAGTCATATGGACCAAAGGGTGAGTCTTCAAGCCTCAGGCCAGATGTTATAGCACCTATAGTAAAAATCATATCCATCAGACTTTTTTTGCACACTTTCAAAACTGCATATGAAAAACATTTTTTGTTGCGACGACACAATTATGACAAAAATATTGGTGATTATTTCCTGTGATATTGTATTCATTATTAAATAGAATTTAATTTTTTTTTGTGTAGGTCAACTGCAAAGCATTATTTACAGACACATTCGCTACACATCCAAAACTCACTTGACTGCTGTTTTATACATCAGATACCAATGCTGCCTAAACAGTCAACTTCACACTCCAAATAAATATCAGCAATAGATAAATAAATATAATTAATAATTAATCAATGTGTCAATTAATCACAGCTGTTGTAAAAATCTTTAAATATTAACAGTGTAGCCCTAAAACTGACTACCAAAAAAAAAAAAAAAGGAAGCCTACCAGATTTGCTGGGGTTTTGATCAAGTGGCGAGTTAACGGAAATGTCCATGGCAGTCCACTTCTTCAGACGGGACTGTGGCTCCTTAAAACCAACACTGCCAATGTCGAGGTTGCTTACATTCAAGTTTGAGTTCAAACCTAGAGGAATACAAAAAACACAAAAAAATTAAATCAGTCCACTCAGTATTTTTTTCTCATTAAAGACTTGATAGAGTACTTCTAAATCATTTATTTTGGAGACAGCGTCACAAGTCAACACAATGTCCATGCCACTATGGCAGTCGCAACAACACAACCAACAAAAAAATTACTGAGTGCACAATAAAACATGGGAATATATGGAAGGGGAGACAAGCACAAACAAAGTAAAATAACCTTACTGTTGTCAAGCGGCAGAAATTATGAGTAGAAGCACCATACGTATGCCAGCCAAACATTGGATTTCCAATCAAATAATAAGGGTCTGAACTCCAAAGGTTTTGCAATATAGCATATTTGCATTCTTTTCCCTCAAATACAAAATGCAAGAGGAAAGTTTGCTGGGGACAACAAAATAGACTATTCACCTCTTGCTGGCAGAGAGCTGCTGTCAGGACAGAAGTTCTTTCCTACCCGAGGGTTGATGGGAGAGCCTGGCACCATGTGGCCATTGCTCAGAGGTGGGGCTAGGAGGCTATGACTTTGACTAATGCCAGCTGGCTGATAGCCTGACATGTCAGAGGTAAACATCGTGTTGGGCTTGGCAGCTTGGTGCAACAAAGAGTCAGTCTGGCCTAAATTAAGATGGGGAGGACACCCACCTAAAGGGAAATTACTGAACGAGATCAGGGAACTTTGTTCTTTCTGCAGGTCGGAGGCATTGGGGGGCATGAAGTTCTCCATATAGGACTTGAGGCTGGGCTGGTGCAGCGAGGGTGGCTGAGGGGAAGTCTGCTGCTTCATCAGGGAGGGATCGAGATGGCGGGGAGGCTGGATCATCTGTTGGGACGGACCCAGACCGCGACCCTACACGTCATCACAAATGGAAAATGTCACGTCAAACGAGCCAAGACAGAAGGAAACGGAACACATAAATGGGTCTAAGAGATCACAAACCTGTTCCTGGCGGCTGTTAACAGGCATGGCCCTCTGGCTTTGCGCTTTTTGCTGCAAAAGGAGACGCTGGGACGGGGGGAAAAAAAGGGTAAGTTTTAAGTATGACAGGGAACGGGTTAACTTATCACTTCTAGGCTGGTACTAGCAACAAGATCAATACCTGTAACTGATTAATCTGAGAAAGCTGAGACAGTTGGTTGAGTTGGGACAGCTGGTTTAACATAGCCACCTGCTGTGGGCCAAACAGAGGGTTCAGACCTCCATTATTGGGAGAGTACTTCAACAGGGGTGGCGGGACCTGGGGAGAAAAAACAAACAAAAAAAAAAAAAATAAATAAAATAGGTACACATTTGTTATGAACCTTGTTATAAAAAAAAAACACATAACATTGATCAATTAAAAAAAAGATACTAAACTGAGAATATTTATTGATTATACATATTATATAGATAGTGTGTGTATTCAAATATTAGTATTATATTAATTTAATAATAAAAAATAAATTAATATATTAATGAATTCAATTTAATATAATATATATTTCTTAGTGGATAAATAGTGGAGCCGCAACAGTGAGACCCTCAATACTTTTAAGTAGGACTGCAAAATTAATCTGAATAAAAAAAAACTGTGATATGGTTATATCATGACAGATATAAAATACGGCACTGTGTTTTTACATGTGAGCAGCTCATGGTCCGGTGTTTTTAGAATTTCAGAGAAACTCATAATACACAGCAAACCTGGGACGAGTTGCATAAGAATAGCCACTATGTTAAGACCTAGTTAAAAACTAGTCTGACCAACAAGCAGTTAGTCAATGGGTAATCTGCATTTTTGGATTCAAATTTTTGCAAGTCTACTTTTTCTGTAACTAACAAAGAAAAAAATAAGATGACTAGCCTCACTTGTAAGACTAGCCTAAGGCCACTGGAGTTTTGTAAACTGCATTTTAAAATACACATCAAAATTTTTCTCAGGAGAAAAACAAGGCCTTGAGTTACACTTTGGAAATTCCCTGATATTTCCAAGGCCTTGGGAACCCTGTACACCACACATCTTCATCTTACAGTCAGCAGGGATTTAAAAACCCAAGTGGCATTACCTGAGAGGGAAGTAGCGGAGGAGGCACTTGGTTGCGTAGACTGGACTGAGTGGAGTTCAGAGGTTGTGCTGGAAGCTGCTGAGCATTCCGGCCTTGTGCTGCTGCATTACCGACACCGTACATGTTTACATTCTGAGAAGAAACGTAACACCCCACATGTAAATGAGCATCCGGCAATCCAGTGCATTCACACCTTCAGCACACAAGGAGCAGCATGCACTAACTCACCTGCCTAACAGAGGCAGAGTTTGGATGGTGAGGCAAGCTGCACTGGTTTGGCAGTGCCTTATTTGTTGGGGAAAAGCTGATATTCTGCATGGAAGTGATCTGTGAGTTTTGGGACTCCTCTGTTACAGAGCTATCATATACAGGCAGTGAAAGCTGAAGCACGACCACAGGCCAAGCAGCGAGAGGAGCAGGACGCAGAGCACAACAGCAGTGAGGAATTGGACAAAGACCAGAAGGAACACCAGGCCACCAGAGAAAGACACATCAACAGCCACAGAAAAGGAGAGAGAAAGGCTATGTTAGCATCCTCTTTGGCATGTTTTAGCAACTGGAGTGCTTTCTTCAATTTTATTAAGTTAGGGAGGCAATGGGAAAATTGGGATCAGAATAAAGACTACTGAAAGAGTTGCTTCTAAATACCCCATGAAATCAGCTGTAGCATTTCAATACATATAACCTTAGATCTAACAGACATGGTCTTATGCAGTGGTTATATCAGCAAATTTCCAATGGTGCCCTCAGGAGGACTGAAATGTTTTTAAAAGACGACAAAATAAGCTTAAAAATAAGGTAATACAACTTAATTCACTCCCTTAATAACCCTGTTTAATTTGAGGATCTTAACTTCAGGAATACTGAAATTTAATTTTAATTAGAATTATTAGGTTATTTACTAATTGTAATCCATGGACACTCCTAGTTTCTGTAAATTACAAAATGTGTTTTTAAAACAATATTAATTATAGCAGATTTTCCCAGAGGAAATATAATTCATTATGGACAAAGGCGGACAGAGTAAAAAAATAAATAAAAAAAAAGGTTGAGATCGGCTGGTCTTGAAGCCATAAGCATTAAATGTTGATATCATGAGGTCTTTAAATTGCATTCTCGTCCCATAGAGGGTGCTAAAGTACCGAACAAGCAGGAATACAAGACTGGACAAAATTAAGCCTCCATTACTGTTATAGGAGGATAGGAAATAACTGACCTTATCCATATAGTGGTTACGGTCTATAGTAGAGTCTTTGTGGATCTGGTGGCGTGAAGCAGGATTTTTCCCATACTCTCCGATATTAAGAACATGCTTGTCAACATCAATGCGCTTGTCTGTCATTCCTGCAGAAGATGAGAAGAATTCATAGATTTGACAAAATCATGCTAATACTCATGGACTGCAATAAACATCACTCTATATCAGTACTGGAGGAGCATGTGAATGTGACCTACCTCCAGACATATCCATCTTATTGCTCTTCAGGGAGTCTTCAGCAGAATCCCTCTATAAAATGACAAAAAAGCATCAACGTGCTAATAACTATGCTCCATAAAGGATTTGGGGACACATAATACTTAGTATAACAGGTTTCACATAAACGTATAGCAATCAAGACTTGATCCTTACAGGGTACATGTTGTTGAACTGTTTCACAAACTGATTCATCCATGGAGAATCATCTTGCTTGTTGGGTCCTTTGTTCAGCTAATGGCAAGAAGGGTAGAAAATAAAGCAGCAAGCAAAATGTACACACATAATTTTGTCGTCACTATTAGATTTAACAGGAAATTCAGTGAATGACACTTTAAACATTTCTGCCAGGCTAAATGAGGTCTTTATTATTATTTATCTTAATTATTACCTTTGGAGTCATCTTCTTGTAGGGCCAGTTTCCAGTTTGGTTCACTTCTTGAGATGGATTGTTGTTCCACATGCCTATCTCTACTTCCACTTCCTCCTCCCAGTTGGAGTGCCCCGTCATGGACATCTCCTCTCCACCCCAGTTATCTTGCATAGGTTTGGATCCTAAAAAGCCAAAATCAAATAAAAAATGAGAAAAAAACAAAAAAACAATTTACATTGGAAAAGCTAAACAAAACAAGAAGAAATTAAGTAGAAGAAAGAAAAATCAAAGAAAGTTCTTTGCCCCAATTGGAGATGTACCAGACTTGTGCTGTGACTGCTGTCCTATAGCAGCGTTGCTCCAGCCACTGCCTCTTGAGTTTTGCCTCCCCGGCTCTTCCCAGCTGGAACCTGTATCAACAGGGTTTCCCCAAGCAGACGTGCCATTGTCCACAGTGACAGGTGGAGCAGCATGCTCACCCCAGGTAGAGGACTCCATTTTTTGTGGCCCACCATATGGCTCTCCCCACTCTGTGATAAAAAAAAAAAAAACTATGATCAAAGACCAGTATACAAAATGCTATATTGTTCTGCACAAAAACTAGTGAATGTAACAAATGAGAGAATGGCACAATTAAAAGAAGGCATATTACTATTTTGTAAGCAAACTGAAATCTGTCAGAGCAAACAAAAATCAAAGTGTAATGCATAAGCTACATAGACAATAACTATGCAACAACTAATTTGCGTCTAAAATACTTGACTGAAATCTATTAAAGACAATGCAATTAATATTTACAAATAAACTTCAAAGTGGGATTGGACTGTACTTGCAAACTTTCCAATAGCCCAAATCCGACTCTTGCATAAACATGCTTATGTAAGCTTTGTTTACTCTGAAGTCCTTCTGATGGATCAGCTTACATTTAACCACTGAGCTTTTTGCACTTTCACCATCCAGCATATGCCCTGAATACTTCATTCAAAAATAGCCCTGTTCATGTGTGCCCTGCTGCTCAAGTTGCTGCCATATGACTGCACCATCGGCCACAATGTAACCAAAGCCTATTTTTCCCTGAGCACAGCTTATCCACAGCCAATTCCAAATGAAGTAGGAACACTATTTGCACATGCACCTTAATATTTTCTGTTTGGCAAATAATTTAAAATTAATGGAAAAAGCTGCACTTTTACAAAGTATATACATTCCTCTGCACTGCATAAACACATTTATATATAGACACACGCACAAACACTTGCTCGTAAGTTCAGCTTGTCAGTGCCGTAAGCATTAGAGGAAAGGGGTGGGAAGAAAAAGTGCATCCAGAGAAATTCCAAAGGGATGACTGCATGACTTAAGATAAATATAATGTGAGAGTAATAATTGCCAAGGAACTGCCAAAAAGGAAGACACCCACCTGAGTTGCAGTTCTTTTCCTTTGGGGCCATGGCGCTTTGGGCTTGAGGGGGCTGAGAAACAGCCATGCCATCCTGCTCTCCAGCAGTGTTCTTGCTCCACATATTTACGTTGTTGCAGTTATATTTGTTGGGATCTCCCCATGCTGAAGTACCATCATCGATCTCCATTCTACGCCTGATGGATTCTGGTGATGGATCTTCCCATCCAGTGGATTCTTCTTCTTTGGAGGCAGTAGGCATCGGGCCTCCCAGCCATCCTGTAGGCTTGTTCTGACCAGGGGCTCCAGTCTGAGAGGTGCTCCCACTCCTGAATGTTCCCATGCTGGAATCTTGGGACTTGCCCCACTCTGAAGAGTTGTGCGGTTTTGTATTGTCGCCCCAGGTGGGGTTGGAGTGGCTTGATTTGATTGGCTCACGCCAGGTTTGGTTTTGATTGTTGGTCTTGGGTGGCTCTCCCCATCCTGTGGTTGGACCACTCTGGTCAGGAGTGTTGGTGCCTCCGCTGCCTCCCCAGGTGTTGCTTGTCCCGCAACGCCCCGGCTCACTCCAGGCTGATCCAGAGCGGTCGCTGTCACTGTCCCAGCCTCCTGAACCAGATTTCTGGGGCTCTCCCCAATGGTTTCCCTTCGGGCCTTCTCCGCCCCATCCCTGCTTTGCCTTCGGCGGATTATTCCAAGAGGAGGACTTCTCATCCTTGGTGCCATTCCATGAGGAGCCACCCTTGTTCATTGTAACAGAAGGGGCATCCTCCCATCTACTTTGTTCAACTGGGCCTTTGGTTTCTCCCCAGCCAGTTGAAGGTTTAGTTTCCGTCCACCCAGACACTGAAGAATCACTACTTTTGTTGGTGCTGGGTCCATCTCCCCAACCACCCGAGTTAGACGCCTGAGGGGGAGCGCTACCCCAGCCTGTATGTCCATTTCCTGTCTTTTTAGCAGAGCTTGAAACATCCCACGCAGTGTTCTGGTGGACTGGAGTTTGTCCCCACCCCGTGTTGGACAGCACCCTGGGGTCCACGTCAATTTTAGAGGGAGCTGCATTGATCATGCCCTGCTGATTACCTCTCCTTCGGTTGCCACCACATTGCCCATCCCTCTCACTGCAACCTCCCAAGCTCTCTCCACTTCCTTCACTGCCTGTAGATTTGTTCCATGTGCTGCCTTGTGACGCTTGACCGGAGCTCCCTATACCAAGAGCATCATCCTCCAAGGACTTCCATCCATTTGTTCCCTTCCTGCTCCCATTCGTGCTATCATTGGAATGCTGACTGTTGCTGGGCAAAGTGTTCCACTCCCCGTTTGAGACCTTAGTGCCAGTGTTTGAAGAGGATGAGGAAGAGGAAGACGAGGAGGAGGAGGCACTCCCCCAGGGGCGAGGGATCCCAGCTGGGCCCACACCACTGCCTGCTCCCCAAGACATACTTTGTGAGGTAGCGGGTGCTGAGTCCCAACCTCCTCCACGACCGCCCATCCCATTATTATTATTATTCTTTAAAGAAGCAGCACTCACAGAGGAGCCATTCGCTCCAGACTGCATTAGAGTTGCATTCACAGTGTCGCCCACAGCTTGGCCTTTAGGGATGGGACATTTGTCTCCAGAGTAATTAGTGCCAGGCGGAACGCCCCATGCTGTACCATAAGACCCGCTGTTGATTCTCTCACTGTTGGCATGTTGAGAAATGGAAGTGCCATTAGAGACTGGAGATATAGGGAGCTGAGGGGAGCCCCCTGTACTCATAGGCCAAGCTCGGTGCCCTGGGGGCTGTTCATTCATCTGCATTGAACCTGTAGAGTTTGGTAAACTAGAGGTCATCGTGTTAGTAGTGTTATTTGGTCCATTAAATTCAGTGTTAAGGTTTTGAGGCTGCCCACTTGGAACCTTGTTTGTACTATTGACTTCAGCTTCGGACATATTTTCCTGCAGGCATCCCCAGGACATCTTAGAGTTGATACTCTGCATGCTGGGTGTTTGACCTATGATGCTTTGTTGAGTGTTGGTGCCACCATTTCCGTTCCCCGCAGGCCCATGGGGGTTGGGCCCAGTGTTCTGAAGAACAGGCCAGGCACCATGGTTGGCATTTGGGTTCAAAGTGCTTGGATTTATACCTACATTGGTTGAGGAACCTTGGGTACCCCATGCATTTATTTTGCCATGGCTGCTTTCTGCCAGCTTGCTGCTGGGGCCCTCGCCAGAGCCTTGACATGTGCTTAGCATCGAGCCATTGGATACACCCCAAGGCCCCTTAACACTCCCATTACTGCTGCCATTTGCAACCATGAAATGAGAACCTTGTCTATTGCCATTGTTGTCACCACCAGTGCTCCCAGACGCCATCATACTAAGATTTTTTTCTGACCCAGAGCTGGAGGCAGAGTCAGCATCCATACATTCTGAGGCTAACTCTGGGTCACTACCAGTGATGGAGGGCCAGGGTCCCTTATCTACAATAACTTTTCCCCAGTTGCTGTTCGAGTTGCTGCAAGGTGAGCCAGAGCTCCATGGTGAATTTTCATACTGAGGCTCCAGGCCAGCATGTTCCAAACCTGTGAACACAAATAAAAGGTCAAATCAGTTCAGATGGCAAACATTGAGAGAGAGAGAGAGAGAGAGAGAGAGAGAATGGAAATGCGAAATTTTTGGACTAAATTCAGACAAGTGGACAAAAAAAAACATGACAATAAAATATGGATGTATGCGTGTCACAGTTTGTGCAACAGCTTTGCAAAAGGAGATTGAACAGTAACATAAGACACTAAGGGACTGAAACATGTGAACTTGTATATAAAACAAAAATATAAATACAATCCCTTACCCAATCCTGATTTAGTTACACTGTATTCTTGTACTTTATCAATGATTAACTGTAAAACACCCAGTGCAAACAACACATTCTAAAACACAAGCCAAATGCTGTACATAAACAATATCCTGAAAATATTAACATTTGGTAGACTTTGTCCAGAATTTATAATAACTTGCCCATTTATGGATTATGCGACAATGGCTAACTGCCCATAGGCCCCGTCTCTGTCCTGCTGAGAGGTGTCTCACTCAAGCCAGACTGAAACGGTAGTAGATCTGCCACCATTTTGTAGCAGCAGTATGATCATGCTGCATGCCAGGATAGAGGAGGGAAAGACAGACGACTGCTTACAGCAACACTAAGTGTGAAGCGTCTCTGAAAGTTCAAATTTTATGTAGATGTGGCAAGTGTGGTGGCACTAAACTCTAACAATAATGCAACTGCTGTGTTCCTTGAAATAAATGTTCTGCTCTTGCGTTCATATTTTTCTGCAAGATGGCTGCTAAGCTTCCTTGAGCACTGTTCTCTTGCCAAGTCTGAGACTTTCTCCTTGGCTGTGTTACCAAGAGAAATGGGAAGACAAAGAAACACAGACAGTCTCACTGCTGGTCTAGAGTAAACTGTTTTTTTAAGAGTGACTCAATAAAATGGGAGATTCTGTTGAAGGTCACTGAGGTAAAAGAAAATTACAGTTACATTTTGATCTAGTATTTCATCTCTCCAGGGGAGACTAAAAGAGTTGTCAACCAAGAAGAGACTTGTAGACTCCAAGGGGATAGAACAATGGAAATTCTGTCATCACATCATTCCAAAATTATCTCCCTTTCTTCTGTTGAACACAAAAGATATGTTTGTCCATATAATTTAAGTCAATGGTGTCCAAAACAACCTGGGACACCACTAACTCTCTTTGTATGGACGGGAAAAAAAATTATTCCACTAAAGTCAGTCAGTCATACAAGTTTGGAATGATGAGTGTCAGTAAATGATTACAGACTTTTCATTCTTTGATGAAATTTCCTAAAAGTAGACTTATGTGTTATGGGCAAAGAGTACAATCGCTGACTTGCATTGTAAAACTAATTCAGAAAAGTGAGAACTTTGTAGCAATTTGCAGCACTACTGCTCTGGCCTTTCATAAAACAGGAAAAACACAGATTTGGCAGAAAAAATAAAATAAAGGAAAAGTCAGTCTATCCATGCCAAGACATTATGATAGATTTCTTGCAAGACACTGTAGAGCAACTGGTTAAATTTAGATGTGAATTTAAATGTGTTTTCTGGGTTTATCACACCACAGACAAATGTGTTATTAACCACCCAGCCAAATTTGAATGCTAAAAAAAACCCCGCCAAGTGAATAAAATAAGCGATCAAAATCGTGAAAAAATAAGCAGTATTCTCTGCTCTCAGACGCTGGGGGTGTGTCCGCTGGTGGAGCTGAAACCACACCCACTCGCGGAAAAGCTGTCAACTGTCTTCCCTCTGCGGCTTATTTAAATGAGGAGACCGAGCTGTTTTGTAAATGATTGCAACCAGGTATTATGCATTTACGTGACGAAGGCATAGATAACTAGCAACCTCTAGGCCAGGGGTCGGCAAGTAAGTTTGGCATCGGGCCAAAAAACATTAATTTCTTGATTTGAGCCAGAAAACTCATAGTTTGCTCAAACTCAACGTGAACTTACCTGGGTAAAAACCGAAACTGGCTTCGTGCTACAGGCCACAGGTCTTTAGGTGACTTTTGAACTTAACACACACTAAACAAAAATGGTAAACAACAGCACATGGTAAGGAAAAATAAAAAGTGAGTCACCTGTTTGGTTAGGGGAGTGGCTGACGGAATCCCGAATGGGAGCCATGCCTACAAAACAAAGAGCAGCACCATGAGGAAAACCAGCTACATGAAGCCATGAAATAGGCCTCAACACCAATTAAACGGCCACATGTTAAGACCATGCAGCAAACATAATCACTTATTTCTACAGCTATGACCTAAGAATTTCAATTCAACACAAAATGAAAACAGTAGAATGTAAACAAAGATCAAGATCTTTCATTAGAAGACATGCTACTTTTTACATGAGTGACTCCATTAGCTTGACTGTACTGAAATGACAACCACCGGCAAAAATGAAAATGTTTAAAAAATTTTTTTAAGAATTGTATACTAAAAAAGCAACTGGGGACATAAAATATTATTTAGGATATTTTGGAAATGTATGGGAGAACTAACACAGTCAATCAGACAAAGCTTACAACCTAATATGATAAAGTTATGGTAAATTTATTGACCTGACTACTAAAAACAAAAATAAATTTTTATTTTTAGTTTGGGGG